GGGCAGCTGGTGACCTCGGTGGGGCGTGAAGGACGGCCCAGAACGCCCCCCTTCCCATGAGGCCCCTGCTGCCCCCCGCCCCTGGCTCAAACCTGCTGTCCACAAGGCTCCCGTGCAGCCGCCATCTTTCTTTCCAGAGAGGAGCGGGTGAGCGGGACAACACCCTTTCCCCTCCAGGCAGGAAGAGTTGTTTCTTAGAAGTTAGACAATGAGAAAATAATATCTAGAAGCCTCAGTTTCCTCAATGTGATATTCTACTTCATTTTTAGAAAATTAAAATCTAAGAACATAATTGAATCTAACTTCTTTATTTATGAATTTTTTATTTTAACATTTTATATTTTACTTATTTATTTATTTATTTAAATTTTATTAGTTAAACACCCTGTGGTGCAATTATAGACTTACAAATGTTTGTGCTTGGGTTTCAGTTATACAATGATCAAGTACCCATCCCTCCACCAGTGCCCATGCTCCATCACCAATGATCCCAGTATCCCTCCCACCCCCCATCCCCCACATCCCACCCCTTCTCTGTAGCAGGGCATTCCCTTTGGTTCTCTCTTTCTCCTTTTGGGTGCTGTGGTTTACAAAAGAGGCACTGAGTGGCAATCATGTTTTGTCTATAGTCTACTTTCAGCATACATCTCCCATCCTGGGAGAATCCTCCCAACACCCTTTATTTGGTGCTCCCTTCTCTATCTGAGCTGTCATTTCCCCTAGCATGTGCGGTTGGCCTCCAAGACACAGAGAAAACCTCCTGGTACTTATCTCGGCTATTCTTGGGTGTTAGTCTCCTATTTTGTTACTTTATGTTCCCCAGATGAATGTAATCTTTCTATGCCTGTCCCTCTTTTTCTGACTCATTTCACTTAGCATGATACTCTCCATGTAGTACAATTCATATGTAAATTCCATGACTTCATCTTTTCTAATAGTTACATAGTACTCCATTGTGTAGATGTACCAAAGTTTCTTTAATCAGTCATCTGTTCTTGGGTACTCAGGTTTTTTCCGATTCTGGCTATCGTAAAGAGTGCTGCAATGAACAAACAAGTGCAGACGTCACTTCAACTATACTTTATTGCCTCTCTGGGAAATATTCCCAGGGATGGTATTACTGGGTTAAATGGGAACTCAATTTCTAATTTTGTGAGAATCGTCCATACTATTTTCCAAAAGGGCTGAACCAGTTGGCATTCCCACCAGCAGTGAAGGAGGGTCCCTTTCTCAACATACCCATGCCAACACCAGTTTCTTTTGTTCATTTGGATGTGGGCCAGTCTTTGTGGTGTGAGATCATATCCCATTGTTGTTTTGATCTGCATCTCCCTGATGATTAATGATGTGGAGCATTTTCTCATGTGCCTTTTTGCCATTCAGATTTCTTTTTTAAGAAAGTTTCTGTTCATTTCATCACCCCATTTTTTTGATGGGATTGGATGTTTTCTTTTTGTGGATTTCAACCAGTACTTTGTATATCCTTGATATCAACCCCTTGTCATATAGGTCATGGTCATGGTCCTCCCATTGTTCATCGATTTGCTCGAGCGAGCCCAGTAATGTCTCCATTGGAGACTTTGTTGTTACTGTGTTTGGCATATAAAATGCATCACAGGGAGCTTGCAAGGCTCTGCTGTGCGGGCGAGATACTCTTGGTAGCTTGCCATGCTCTCCGAGAGGGGCGGAAGAATCAAACTCAGATCGGCCATATGGGTATTGGGCAAAAATACTTTCCTATTCTGTAGACTGTCTTTGTATTTTGGTCACTGTTTCTTTTGAGGTAGAGAAGCTTCTTAGTTGAAGATAGTTCCTTTTGTCTATCTCTGTTTTCACTTGCTTGACCAGTAGCATGACATCTTTGAAGATACCATTACATTCAATGTCGGGGAGGGTTTTCCCAGCCTTGACTTCAAAATACCTTATGGATTCCACTCTGATGTTGAGGTCTTTAATCCATTTTGATCTTACTTTTGTACATGGTGTTAGGCAGAGATCTGGGCCCAGTTTTTTGCATGTAGCTGCTCAGTTTTGCTAGCAAAATTTGTTAAAGAGACTTTTCTTGCTCTACGTCACGTTTCTTGCTCCCTTGTCAAAGATTAGATGATCATATGTTTGGGGGGAGATGTCAGTGTATTCAACCCTCTTCCATTGGTCTGCAGCTCTGCCTTTGTTTCAGTACCATGCTGTTTTAATTATTACTGCTTTGTAGTAGAGTTTGAAGTTAGAGAGGTTGATATCTCTATTTTTCTTTTCCCCAAGTATTGCTTTAGCTATTTGTGGGGACATATTGTTCCATCTTAATTTCAGGAGTGTTTGCTCCATTTCTTTGAAGAAATTCATGGGTACAACTACAGGGATTGCATTGAATTTTTACAATGCTTTGGGATGTATTGCTATTTTGACAATATTAATTCTCCCAATCCATGAGCAGGGGTTATCTTTCCATTTTCTCATGTTTTCTTTTATTTCCTGTCTTAGTGTTTTGTATTTTTCTTTGTATAGGTCTTTTACTTACTTAGTTAAGCTGATTCTTAGGTACTTGTTTTTCTGGGGTACAATTGTTAAGGGGATTGTTTTTTTCATGTCACTTTCTTCTCTCTCACTATTTGCGCATAGGAAAGCCATAATTTTTGGGGTATTGATATTTATATCCTGCAACTTTATTATACACACCTATTGTTTCTAGGAGTTTCTTGGTAGAGGTTTTAGGGATCTCTAAGTATAGTATCATATCATCTGTGAATAGTGAGACCTTGATTTTTTCCTTTTCTACCTCAATGCCCTTAATTTCTTTTTTTTTTTGTAGCCACTATTGGAAGTACTTCCAGTACTATACTGAACAGCAGTGGAGAGAGTGGGCATCCTTGTCTCATCCCTGATCTTAGAGGGAAAGCTGCCAGATTTTCTCCATTGAGGATGATTCTTGTTGTAGGCTTTTGGTTGATGGCTTTAATTATATCGAGGAAAGTCCCCTTTGTACTATTTTGGCAAGGGTTTTCATCATAAACTGGTGCTGGATCTTGTCAAATGCTTTCTCTGCATCTATTGATTTGATCATATGATTTTTATCATTTCTTTTGTTGATATGATGGATTATGTTGATTGATTTCTGAATGTTAAACCATCCTTGCATCCCAGGGATGAACCAGTCCCACTTGGCCATGGTGTATGATCTTTTTGATGAGTTGTTGAATTTTATTTGATAGTATTTTGTTAAGAATCTTCACATCTGTGTTCATCAGGGATATTGGCCTGTAGTTTTCTTTTCTTGTGGTGTCTTTGTTTCCTTTTGGTATTAGAGAGATTTAGGCTTCATAGAAACTGTTTTGGAGAGTTTCTGTTTCTTCAATTTCCTGGAAAAGCTTGAGTAGAACTGGCAATAGGTCCTCTTTAAATGTTTGGAAGAATTTGCTAGTAAATTCATGTGGACCTGGGCTTTTGTTTGGGGGAAGACTTTTGATTACAGTTTCATTTCCTTGATGTGAGTAAGTCTATTCAGGTACTCTAGATCTTTTTGATTCAGCCTTGGGAGATTATAGGAATCCAGAAATTTATCCATCTGTTCTAGGTTCTCGTTTTGTGGCATACAGACTTTCAAAGTAGTCTCTGATGAACTTTTGAATTTCTTTGGTTTCTGTTGTGACATTCCCCTTTTCATTTCTCAATTTGGTTTATTTATTTAGGGTTTATTTATTTATTTAAGGTTCTCTCTCTTTCTTTGTAATTCTTGCTAGTGATTTATCTATCTTGTTTATTTTATCAAAGAACCAGCTCTTGATTTCATTGACCTTTCTGATTTTTTTTTTTGGTTTTCAAGTCATTGATTTCTGCTCTAAGTTTTATGATATCTTTTCTTCTGCCTGATTTGGGCTCCTTTTGTTGATCCTTTTCTAAGATCTTAAGCTGTGAAGTCAAGTTGATTATGCGGGCCCTTTTTCCTTCCTGAGAAATGCTTGCAGAGCTATAAATTTTCTCCTTAACATGGCTTTAGCTGCATCCCATAGGTTCTCATAGCTCGTGTCTTCATTCTCATTTGTTTCCAGGTATCTTTTGATTTCGTCCTTGACTTCCTTCTTGACCCAATCATTGTTCAATATTGAGTTGTTTAATTTCCAGGTATTTGATTTGGTTCTTCGTGTCTGTGTGTAATTCACTTCTATTCTCAGTGCTTTGTGGTCTGAAAAGATTGTTGATAATATTTCTAACTTCTTGATTCTATTGAGGTATTTTTTGTGGCCTAGCATGTGGTCTATTTTGGAGAATATTCCTTGTGCACTGGAGAAGAATGTGTATTCTTTCTTTTTGGGGTGTAAAGCCCTGTAGAGGTCTATAAGCCCTCTCTCTTCTATTTCTTACTTCAAAGCCAATGTCTCGTTGCTGAGTTTTATTCTTGTTGATCTATCCAGAGGTGATAAGGTGATGTTGAAGTCTCCGGCTACTACTGTTTGCCAGCAATGTCCTCCTTAACATCTGTTAGCAGTTGTTTTAAATATTTAGCTGTCCCTTCATTAGGTGTGCATACATTTAAGAGTGTTATTTCTTCCTGTTTTACGTGTATCTTGATGAATAGAAAATGGCTTTCACTGTCCCTTTTAATCTTTTTCAATCTGAAATTTATGTTGTCATATACTAGTATGACCACCCCAGCTTTTTTTGAGGTTGCTGTTTGCTTGCAGGATTGTTTTCCATCCTTTAACTTTGAGTCTGTGTTTGCTCTGACTGTTCAGATGAGTTTCTTGTAGGCAGCAGAATATTACATTCTGTTTCTGAATCCATTTTGCTACTTCGTGTCTCTTAATTTGTGAAATTAGACCTTGATGTTGAGAGAGATTATTGTTATGGGGTTTTGTGTCATCTTTCTGTAGGCTTCTGTTGTGCTTGTAAGGTTTGTCTTGTCTTATAGTAGCCCATTAAACCCTTCCATTAGGTTTGGTTTTGAGTCTATGAAGTTTCTGAGCTTGTGTATATCCACAAAATAGTGTACTGTTCCTTTGAGTAAAAATATGGAACGCTTCACGAATTTCCATGTCATCCTTGCACAGGGGCCATACCAATCTCTGTATTGTTCCAATTTTAGTATATGTGCTGCCAAAGCAAGCACAACATTTTTTATTTTAAATTTTCTGCTGTTTTATTATTGAAGAACTATAAGTTCCTATAATAGTAACAGTTTTTTTCAAATTCAGAAATATAATGATAGTATTTTTCCCTAAAAATCTTGCAAATTCCTCTATCAAATTCCACCGCAAAGCAATTTTGTATAAATATATACTGAGGCAAGCATGATCAACTTGGGGCTCTTAGATGTAAGAAGATACAGATAAACATAGAAAATTTCACAGGAACATTTATTAAAAGGTGGTTATCTACAAAACAGAAGTCATCAAGCATCTTGATCTTGGACATTTTAGACTCCTAAACCATAAGAAATACCTCCTTTTTATTTCACCCAATTAAATTTACAGAATTAAAAAATAAAATCTCATTTATATCTCAGCATTGAGACTAAGAAAATCTTGATAAAATTTTATTATAACCCTTATAATAGATATGAATAAGTGGTCACAAGAAAACAGTTAATATTTGTGTTTTAAGTAGTGAATATTCTATGACCTATCATTACGTAGGATAATTAACCTTGAAACTTTAAGGAATAATAACACATCAAAACTGAAACATATTCAAAATATAATTTATCATGCACCTCACTGTTAAGAATGTGTCTTAAAATCACTGAAAACTGATAGCTCTTTTTATCTCTCCCAGATATTTGAAAAGATAATTTTAAATTTCCAGTTGCCCATTTTAGACTGTTTGGTCACCCCTTCTAGAACAGCTTTCAATTGAGATTTTTGTGCCAAAGGTCCAATTCAACTCTACTGCTTTGATTTGAATGTATTCCTTTGTGTTTGGTCTGTCACAGAGATTCAGAACAACTACTGAGCATCCTTCTCATAAATGTTTCATATACTTGACGACAGTATTTATTCCTTAGTTTCCGCATGTTTGGATCTTATTCAATATCTTTTTAGTTGATGTGGAGGAAAGGGAGATGGCACTTATGTTTCAGGCTTCACATTACTGCCAACTCTCTCTAGAACACAAATTGATAATGTCAGCCCCTGCTTAAAAACCTCTAGTGATTTCCCACTGTCTCAAAGTTAAACCTAATCTCTGTACTATAGGCCAAATGATACCTCATTTACTTGCCTTTGCCTCACAGTCTTCCTGAATTCTTAATAATGACTTCTACTCCAGCTCCAGTGACACAGGAATAATTTGTGCAAAATTTTATGGGGTTTACCAGTATATCTTTTTGTATTAGGCGGTTCTCTTTCCCTGTTCTTTTTTCTGTAGGATAATGACTACTTGTATTCTATGACTTGCGTTAAATTACAGGTTTCTTCTCTCCATCAGGCAGAGATGGTCACCCCTCCTTAGTACTCTCCCATGTAGAGCTTAAACCTATTATCTGTCCATCTATGTCGTGAAGTATTATGATCCATCTCCTACTCACTATGGCACCTTAAGGTATATTTAAGTAATTCAATTTAAGAAATAATGATCAATACAGGAGAAAGGTTTACTTTTATTTATTTAAATTTTTATTAGTGAAACACCATGAGGTACAGTTGTAGACTTACAAATTTTTGTGCTTGGGTTTCAGTTATACAGTGATCCAGTACCCATCCTTCTACCAGTGCCCATTCTTTACATTTTTTTTTTTTAATTTTTGTTAGTGAAACACCATGAGGTACAGATGTAGATTTACAATTTTTTGTGCTTGGGTTTCAATTATACAATGATCAAACACCCATCCCTCAACCAGTGCCCATTTTCCACCACCATGGATTCCAGTATCTCTCCCTGCCCCCATATCCCCATTCCCCCATCCCACCCTGACTCTGTGGCAGGGTATTCTCTTTAGTTCTCTCTCTTATTTTGAGTGTTGTGGTTTGTAAAAGAGGCATTGAGTGGCAATCATGTTTTGTCTATAGTCTACTTTCAGCATGCTTCTCCCATCCTGGAGGATCCTCCCAATACCCTTTATTTGGTGCTCCTTTCTCTATCTGAGCTCCCTTTTCCTCTAGCATGTGTGACTGGCCTCCAACCCATGGAGCAAAACTCCTGGTACTAATCTCGGCCACTCTTGGGTACTAGTTTCTTATTTTGTTACTTTATATTCCCCAGATGAATGCAATCTATGTCTATCCCTCTCATTCTGACTCATTTCACATAACATGATACTTTCCATGTAGTACCACTTGTATTTAAATTTCATGACTTCATATTTTCTAATAGCTACATCATACTCCATTGTGTAGATGTACTAAAATTTCAAAATGGATTAAAGACCTCAACATCAGACTGGAATCCATAAGGTACATTGAAGACAAAGTTGGCAAAACCCTCCATGACATTGAAGCTAATGGTATCTTCAAAGACGTCATGACACTGGCCAAGCAAGTGAAAACAGAGATAGATAAATGGAACTATCTTAAACTAAGAAGCTTCTGCACCTCCAAAGAAACAGTGACCAAAATACAAAGACAGTCTACAGAATGGGAAAGAATATTTGCCAAATACACATCTGACAAGGGGTTGATATCAAGGATATACAAAGTACTGGTTGAACTCCATAAGAAGAAAACATCCAACCCCATCAAAAAATGGGGCGACGGAATAAACAGAAATTTTCGCAAAGAAGAAATCTGAATGGCAAAAAGGCACATGAGAAAATGCTCTACATCATTAATCATCAGGGAGATGCAGATCAAACCAACAATGAGATATCATTTCACACCACAGAGACTGGCCCACATCCAAAAGAACAAAAGCAATCGGTGCTGGCATGGATGTGGTGAGACAGGGACCCTCCTTCACTGCTGGTGGGAATGCCAATTGGTTCAGCCCTTCTGGAAAACAGTATGAATGATTCTCATAAAATTAGAAATCGAGCTCCCATTTGACCCAGCAATACCACTCCTGGGAATATATCCCAGAGAGGCAAAAAAGTATAGTTGAAGTGACATCTGCACTTGTTTGTTCATTGCAGCACTCTTTACAATAGCCAGAATCTGGAAAAAACCTGAGTGCCTGAGAACAGATGACTGGTGAAAGGTTTACTTTTATCACGAAAATAAAATTCTAGGGATATGCACTCCAGATCAAGAATGTGACACCAGGGGCCAGAGTGACAGTACAGTGGGTAGGGTATTTACCTTTCACACAAACGACTGGGATTCGATCGCAGACATCCCATATGGTCCCATCAGCACCTCTAAGAATAAATCCTGAGTGCAGAGTCAGGAGTTACCCCTGAATATCACTAGGTGTAACAAAAAAAGCAAAAACTAAATAAATAAAATAATAATAATAATAATAATAATAATAATGTCACACCAGTTGAGAACAAAGGTGTTTTCTCAGATTGGTACAATTATCTTCACACTGACTGCCAGGTGGTCATGAGATATCTTAACTTCTAGAAATGACATGCACAGATTTTGGGGAAGAAGAAGGGAAAGGAAGGAGGAACTGAGGTTGCCAAGAAATATTTCCTAAAATACCTGGAATTCTTCCACCTATATCTCTTTTTTGTGATTTCCTCACATACTTACCCTCTTGCTGGAGCGATAGCACAGTGGGTAGGGCATTTGCCTTGCATGCGGCCGACTAGGCCGACCCAAGTTCGATTCCTCCGCCCCTATCGGAGAGCCCGGCAAGCTACCGAGAGGGTCTCGCCTGCACGGCAAAGCCTGACAAGCTACCCATGACGTATTCAATATGCCAAACACAGTGACAACAAAGTCTCAAAATGGAGATGTTACTGGGCCCATTCTAGATAATCGATGAACAACGGGAGGACAGTGACAGTGAAAGTGACTTACCCTCTTACTATGAGAGGATTTGATATGGTAAATATTTTAGATTTAGATCTTTTTTTTCTAAATTGACTTAATTTCAATGTAATGCCAATAAAAATTACCAGATATCATTTAAGAACAGTGTTCCGGGGCTGGAGAAATAATACAAAAGATAGGGCGCTTGACTTGCGTGCAGTTAGTCCCAGATTTAGTCCTGCCACCAATTCCCCGCACCTCATGCAATCTGTTAAATGTGGCCAGATTTTGTATTGTTTCCTTTGAAATGTGCAGGGGTCACCCATGTTTGGTTGTGGGCTTTACGTATTTGTTTTCTTTGGGTTGCAGTGTTGAAAGGGCATTCCCCTCATTTAGATGGGATAATTTCGCACTTTGCCACCCTAAAAATAAAGTCTTAGGCAACAGAGAAGAAAGGCTGATGATAAAGACAGAGAGAGTGTTTGTCATGTGTGCTGCTGTGCCTGCTTATTCTTAGCATTGCACATGGTCACCCAGTGCTACTAGGGGTAACTCCTGAGCACAGATACAGGAATAATCCCTAAGTATCATTAGTTATGGCTCCAAATCAACAAATAAATGAATTTGCAGACTGAGAAAAAACAATTTTCAAAAAGAAGAAAAAAAGTCAATGATGCAGGCAGCCAGAAGCACTCATAACAGAAACTATCTTCTGTGCCTTGAGATATGCTTGTCACATAATAGGGGCTCTCAATGATTATTAACTGAATAACTGCTGAAACTCCCAAGATGCAGTTTTTGAAACTGTTTTCTAATTCTATCATCTTTAAAGCATATGTCTGCTTTTTGCTAGATAGTTTAAAGCAATAGTTTCTGGCTTTTCTTTTTCCCCCTTTAGGGAGCTTGAAATGTTAGTTTCCTTTGTAGACTTCTAATTTTTAATCTTAAAGAATGGAGATTTTGAGTTAGTCTAAACTTATGATGTCACAATTAGCATACAAATTTAATTTTTTCATTGAAGGCACCATTTCTATAAAAATAAAATGGAATTCATAGAAAATACTTTGAAAGCTAAAAATCAAAAACTTTCTGTACTAATTTTTGCATCAGATATTCTTAGCTAGACTACATAACAATGTTTTTTGTTGGTTCTTCATTTATTTTTATTAGAAGTTGGAGGCAGAATATAATTGCTCGAGCGGGCCCAGTAACATCTCCATTGGGACTTTGTTGTTACTGTGTCTGGCATATCAAATACATCACGGGGAGCTTGCCAGGCTCTGCCATGCAGGCAAGAAACTCCCGGTAGCTTGCTGGGCTCTCCGAGAGGGGTGGAGGAATCGAACTCGGGTCGGCCATGTTGGCTGCGTGCAAGGCAAATGCCCTACTGCTGTGGTATCGCTCCTGCTCGCTTCGGCAGCACATATACTAAAATTGGAACGATACAGAGAAGATTAGCATGGCCCCTGCGCAAGAATATAATTATACTTAAAAATACATGACCTTAAGATCAATATTTGGTTAGGACAAAGAATAGAGGTGAAGTGCCTTTCATTTTTGTCCCTGTTTTCATTTTTATCTAGCAATTTTCCAAACCTAAAAGTTTTTCAACAAATGTTTATTGAAAATCTACTATGTGACAGGCATATTCTAAGTATATGGAATATATTTGCCTATTATTCTAAAATAGAAGGACAAGTATTATAGTATACAAGGATAACTGCAGTTTAGTAAATCTGTCACTGTCACTGTCCTCCCCTTGTTCATCAATTTGCTCAAGCGGGCCCAGTAACATTGTGAGACTTGTTACTGTGTTTGGCATATGGAATATGTCACGGGTAGCTTGCCAGGCTTTACCGTGCGGGCGAGATCCTCTCGGTAGCTTGCCGGGCTCTCCGAGAGGGGCGTAGGAATCAAATTCAGTCAGCCATGTTGGCTGCATGCAAGGCAAATGCCCTACCCACTGTACTATCGTTCCAGCCCATTTAATTTATGCTGACATTTCATATCACATAGCAAAATGATCAGTCCTTTTTATTCTTTTATTTGAACTTTCAGAAATACTTTGACACATGACTAATCACTAGTTGCATTTTAAACACCCTCTCTATATAACTTCCAATACCCAACTTTCCTTGAAGTCATCTGGACTCAGTATTTATAGCCAATCACCCCTGTCAAATTTTATTTATTACTGCAAGTTTAAAGAAATCTGCATGGGAGACCTATAATATTCAAGTCTAAGACATCATTTTTTTCTATCAGTCTACCTGTCTTGTGGTTCAAAGGGATTATCAGACTATACCTGGCCTGGGGCAGGGGTAGGGTGGGGTGGGGGAAGTAGAACAAAGACAATGTGTGTCTTGCATTTGCTAGGCCTATGCTTTACTATTTGAGCTGTATCCCTGATTTCCTAAAAATCTCTTAAATTTTTGCTATTTGTTATTTCCTTCTATGAGTTACTCTTTCCAGATGATTTTATTAGCTCTTGTGACTTTAAACTTTCTCTCTAAGCTCTTCACAATGTCTATTCTGAATCCTGGTATTATCTAAACTGTTTTCTACTCATATGCCTAATTTGGTATTTATAATAGCACAAACCTATGAGACTTAAGATTCGTAAACTTTGATTTGCAGATATAGTGCAAAAGGCAGGGTGCTTGCCAAGCACGCAGTGGACCAGGATTCAATCTCTCACACACCAGATTATCTCCGAGAGCCTAGCAGAAGGGATCTCTGAGCGCAGAACCAAGAGTAACTTCTGAGCACCACAAAGTATGCCTAAAAACAAACTAATATTTTGAGATGACAAAGTTGCGGGGAGAGGAAAGGAGGAAAAAAGAGGTAGAATAGAAGTACTATAAGAACTATAAGAAGAGAGAATTTTTTCTTGCATAGACCAGAGTTCATAATTTTTAATTAGAATAGAGAATGTGAGTAACCTAAGTCCAACTATTGTTTCTGAAGCAGGGATATAAGCTAGACCCCACTCTCCTTGCCCTGGGTTATTCAGAAATGGTTATAGTGAATGGGCAACAATTGATTATTTTATCACCCTTTCATAATTTTAAAACAAAAATAATATTTATAAAAGTTCATTCCAAAAATTAATATTAGAAAGGAATGAATGGGTCTGGAGCAATAGTTTCACAGATAGGGTGCTTGCCTTGAAAGTAGCATCCTGGGCTAGATTAGTGGTATCCCATGTGGTCCCTGAGTCCTTCCAGGTGTGATCCCTGTGTGAAGAGCCAGGAGTAAGCCCTGAGCACTACAAGGTGTGGCCCAAAGCCAAAACAAAACAAAAAATTGGGAAAGCATTACGGTATATATGTAAATCTATGGCAATATGAAACAAGTAGCAATCTGCACTACTCTTAAATCAAATAACTGCTGATTAATAGACTAAAACTATATTTTATACTTTTAGTGAGTAATTTTTATTTTTCTACACTGAAAGTTTTCCTTGATCCTAGATATACATAACAATGAAATTTATGAGAAATACTGTAAGGAGTTCTTCGGGAGATTACTTCTTCATGTTTATAAGAATATCGCCAAGTGACATCAATCACCTCATCTTTAGAAAACATGATGACATAGGAAAGCTTCTTGCCACACCCTATTTCATACAGAGTGGTTTGTCACAGACATCCTCACAGGCATCACAGTACAGCCACCGCTGCTGAGAAGACAAATACACTTCTGTCCAGACATGGTCTGTGTAATCCCAAACATAGCGAGTTTCTAATCCTAAAGCCTGGCAGCACAGCATAAAACAATTGGCCAACTTGCCACACCGTCCACATCTTGTTTCCAGAAGTTTCTCTGAGTTATTATACCTTGCGAACTGGAGTTCACAGAAAGGAGTATAAAAGGAGACCCCCATAACCATGCCACTGGACTCCGCACCAGGTTGTTTCCACTCGGGGCACCCTAGAGAGGGGCGTGAAAGAGCCCTCCCCTCCCTGAGGGACCCAGCCCCAGTAGCCAATCTCCACTACCCAACCACCACCACACTCCAGGTGACTTTCCTGACTGCATGGCTGCTTCGCGGCTGTGCAACACATCATGGGACACTTCCTACCCATTGACCATAATTACCACAGCATGTTTAATGGAGTTCAGACAGTAGGCAATAGATCATAAAGAGAAATATATATATATATAATCTATATCCATATTTATATACCTCTCGGAGTGCCCTACACTCTACTATCTCACCAGCGCTGGCAGAGCCTGGCAAGCTACTCGTGTCATATTCGGCATGCCAAAACCAGTAACTATAATGGGTCTCATTCCCCTGACCCTCAAAGAGCTTCCAATCATTGGGAAAGATGAGTTAGGTGAGGTTGCTAAAATCTCAAGACTAGTGTGAATAGAGATGTTACTGGTGCCCGCTTGAGTAAATTGACAAACAATGGGATGACAGTGATAGAGTGCTACAGTGATAAGAACAATAGTGAAGGATCTTGGACACATTGGTGGTGCTAAAACTGAGTAACTTTGTTCATCAAAACCATAAATGTTAACACAATTATAATCATGTTACCTAAAATACAATAAATTTTTTTCACATACCCCACACCTATTTAACATAGCAGCTTTCATTTCAGTAAATGACATTATTGTTGTCAAGTTACATAAGCATAAATGTATATACTGTTTTTAAACTTATTTATCCGTAAACCCCATCCAGCAGATAATTCTATTGATACTAACTCTACACATTCAAACTCTAATTATTTCTCACTATGTCCATTACTTTCATACCCTCAACATCATTCATTTATTTGTTTGCAAAGATTTTCTAGCTTGTCTATCCATGCAATCACACTTTCATTTGATCTTGGATTTTTATTCTTTTATTTGTCCCTATTGTACTTATTAGAACTCAATCAGCCAAGAAAATTTTACTTATGGTTGCTGTTTTTCACTGTTGGTTTACGACTTCCAAAAAGTACATTTAATAAACAAGAGCAGCTCTTAATGCTACTTTCCCATTATCATATCTCTAGCAGTTCGAATAATGTGTAGTATATAGTAAAAAATTCAGGGAATATTTTAACTTAATAAAAATAGATACATAACTAGCACAAAATGTACAAATAGTATTATATTTTCTTAACAAAAAATAACCATACTACAGACACTCAGTTCTAAGTTGCATTTGATTTTTTTCCTATAATGATTCAAATAAAAACACATGAAAATTTTGGAATTCAAATGCTTCACAAAGCTTGTATATTACCTTTTCTTTTATTAGTGAACTGGGTTTAGGCTCACAACAATGTCAAAAATAGAATCTATATATTAACATTCAAAAAGGACATGAGCTAATTAAATATGGCTTTCATTTCTATCAAAGCTTAAATATTACTTTAGTTTCTATGGTCTCATAGGTTATAATTTTCTTTATTCAGAATAAGAATGTTTTAAATGGCTTCTTTTATATGATGCAAAAGTATTTGCTGATCATGTGGAATAGCTTACTCAGATAAATATATGTTAAATGATTTTTTTTTCTTTTTCGGTCACACCTGGTGATACGCAGGGGTTTCTCCTGGCTCTATGCTCAGGTATTACTCCTGGAGTTACCCCTGGGTCAAATTGTGCAAGGCAAACACCATACCCACTATGCTATCCCTCCAACCCCTGAATTCATATTTTAACCTTAAATAGAAATAACCCTCACAGACCAGACAGTATGCTTTAAAAGACTGACTGTTACCTGCTTCTTTCAATGTGAAGATGGTCAAAATGAAAAGGAAGAATGGAAGGAAACAAATGTGGCAGGGAGGGAGGGAGGGAGGGAAGGAAGGAAGGAAGGAAGGGAGGGAGGGAGGGAGGGAGGGAGGGAGGGAGGGAGGGAGAAAAGGAAATATCTCCTAAACTAAAGATTTACTTACTTTGGTAAAGATTATTTTCTAAACTCTCGGGAAACAATGTTGCATTTATCAAAATGGAGGGGGGTACAATTTATGTTTTTCAGTCATTCTATTTATCATGGGCTGGAGTGATAGCACAGTGGGTAGGGTGTTTGCCTTGCACACAGCCAGGTTCAATTCCACTGTCCCTCTCGGAGAGCCTGGCAAGCTACCTGTGGCATATTCGATATACCAAAAATAGTAACGACAAGTCTCACTTTGTGTTCCTGGAGCTAGCAGATGTCATTGGGCTACACTAGCATGCGACAGAAACAAATGGAGATGTTACTGGTGCTCCCTCGAGTAAATCGATGAACAACGGGACATTGGGACGATAGTGCAATGCTATAGTGCTATTTTTCATGCAGCTATCTTGAACAGGTAGTGTTGATTCTACATATTTTTGAAGAGATGCAGTATGTGAACCTAGAGTCTCACACACTCAAGACAAGTACTCTCCAGCTCAGTTAGTTACAGCTCAATTTCTTCACTAAATATTTACTTTGTTTTGCTTGGGGGATCACATGTCAGTGCTAAGGATACAATCTTGGATCTTTGCTCAGGGATCACTCCTGGCTTTATCAAGT